TTTTTAAAATTTTATTATGATTCTCTTAGCTAAACTTTTCAAAAGTATCATTATAAAAGTCTTAAAACTATATAATATAATTAATCTTTATATTCTATTATTTTTGAATATTTGGTTGAAGAGTTTTAAATCTTGATTATTAATGCTTCTAATCAATTCTAATGATATTCATGTTAAATTTTATTTATTTTTACTAGGCTTTGAAATGTGAGATTGAATCATTGGTGCATTAGGAAAAAGGACTAGTTTTAACTTTTAAGAATTACTTGCACTGTACTTAAAACTTGGAGTCATCTTTTATTATTTTTGGTGCCTTTGGTGATGTAACCAAGAAGAATTTCCAACTTTTTAAAATTTTTACAATTGTAAAGGAGTATAATAACTTATTTATAATTTTATGCCTTTTATTATGTTTCTACTATTTTAATGTTAATGTGTTTTATAGTTATATTTTCTACTTGATATTAAAATTTTTTACATTATTTCATATATTTAATAGTGTCAAATATCGATCAATTCGACTTTACCACACTGTCCAATTTAAATTAGATTAGTTTGATTATTATATAATAATTGATTGAATTAGTTTATAAATTTTACTAACTGATTAAATTGAATTAGTTTAAAAAATATTAAAATTTGAACCAAACTACATCGTGAACACCTATTATGTTGTTTTATATTTTTTTGCCTGAAGAAAAGTAGGGGCATCTTTGATTGAGATTGTACCAAATCACTACACATCAATCACACCACAAGCAACACAAGTTTCCCACTCCTTTGCCTAAGCCATTGTAAACACCATGGTTTCCACCCATGTGGACATGGAAAACAACTCCAAAACTAGACCATGATCCTTCTATAGCTCGCTACAATACATAATCCCATGCCTATCACCTTGTTGTTCCACCAGATTGTTAACACAATGCCAAACCATCACCACGATCTTCGGCAAAACACCACAAATTCACCATACCCAAACCACCAAGGTCACAGGAATACAAGGAGGACATAACTCCTCCTTGTTAGGGAGTAGGCCTAACATCAACAAATAGATCCAAAAGGTCATATAAAGCAAAAGTGCAAGCACAGTAATCATGACGCACCCACGTGGTCAAGGGCAAGTGTACCAATAAAGCAACGACACATGGCATCATTCTCATGAATGAGATTTATAAATACCCCCAACTACCTCCATGTAAGGTAATAACTTCACTTCGCTTTTTTTCTCTACAATATATCTTCTTGAGAGCTTCTTTTTCTAGATTATATAGTATTGCTGACTTGAGCGTTGAAGTGTCTCCTCTGAGAAAATATCCTCAGGTTTTTCAAGTACTAGAGTGATTCATGATCTTTATGGTATGAGTTTGTGAAGCTACTTAAACATTTGGTGCCATCTATGGGAACTCAAGCAAAAGAATTATGTAGCTCTGCAAGTTGAAAGAAATCATGGTGCGCACTTTTACAAGAAACCAGCCACCCTAAGCAAGTCGAATTGATGATTAGGATAACGTTCAATTTCTAGAACTTGAGTCTACTGAATTTAGACAAACGTAAAAAAATCTATTCATAAAGGGAGTTAAGTAAGTACACTCAAGTAGCTCAGACGATGAGCGAACACTGACCGGGTATGTCACCCGACCTACAGAACAACACAAGATCCCAAGAGAAGTTCAACATAGACAACCAGCATGTGCAATGTTGCAACCTGAGAAATAAGTGAAGGCCAATTGAACCTCCGAGGTGGAAGAAAGAACCACAACTTTAGAAATAGCTATGGGAAAAATTCTTTCCCACCTAATTCCAGATGGTCATTTGTTTCCCTTGTTAAACTAAGGTGAGCAGTCTGTTGAGGTACCTTTTTGTCATTCGACAGCACTAAGCAATATTGTTGTGCCAACAAAGCCAAGGGGAAGGAGGCAACAGAATCTCGAGCCTAACTCATCAAAATCTAACGAAGAGATGTTGAAGAAGAATGTTAAGTTAGAAAAACAACTAAAAGAAATTCAAAAGTCTATTGATGAGTTAAAAAACCCGAGGTCGTGGCTTCAAGCCTCAGACCTAAATAATGCTTCACTCAACTCGTCAATTACATCGAAATCGTATAAAGAGGGGTTTAAGATCCCCCATTTAGAAACATATGACGGCTTTGGGGACCCTGATTAGCATCTACATACATACCAAGCTGTCATGAAGATACAAAATGCTATATATGCTAGGTGTATAAAGTATTCCTATATACGTTGAAGTCAATTGCTCGAAGATGGTATTGTAAGCTTTCGAGACATTCAATCACATCCTACTCCCAACTTGCTACCTTATTTTCTAATAAATTTGTAAGCCAATAGGAAATAAAACACCCAACCATAGAGTTGATACAAGTTCACTAGAAATAAGGGAAGTCTTTGAGAGATTATATACAACGCTTTAACAAAAACTACTTTAGACATTGATATCGTTCCAGACATTATATGTTTGTCTATCTTTTTGCACAACTTGAAACCTTGTAGCTTCGCAGGCGACTTGCTAGAGAACTCCCTGAAAAGATAGAATGAAGTAAATGATAGGTCGATAAGTTTTATGTTCTCTAAAGACTTTTAGTCATCCAAGCAATGAACTAAAGATAAGTAGGGCAAAGACCCTAGGCAATAGAAGGGAAAAAGGGAAGAAAACAAAGAAACAAAAAGTTGTCGATTAGAGAGGAAAACCCGACAACTTTCAGCTTCATTCAAAATATGCAGGTTACACCCCACTAAGCTTATCAAGGTCACATATTCTAGCTCAAATACAACAGTGGGTAAAGACGCCAGCTCCTATCCCTTTTGACCCAACAAGAATAGACAAGAACAAATACTATGATTATTATTGTGGCTATAGCCACCATATAGAAGATTGCTAGAGCTTAAAAGACAAACTAGAGTTTTTAGCTAGAAGTGGAAGGCTAGAAGATTACATACAGAAATCCTTCCCTCAATAACCTAATTAGATGCACTATTTGTATGATGATGCTTAACCTCAAATATAGGGATATTAGGCTGGTAACACTCAAGGTACATATCTGGGAAATTCATTTTCTTCTAAGGCCGATAGAAATTTTAGAAGCCGTCAAGGTAGCAAGAAAGGGCAAAGACAAAAAGTTGCCACTTAAAATAAAAAAGGTAACAAAGAAGTGGGGCACACTAGAATTCCCCTACCAACCGGCATAATTGTCATGATATCTAAAGGAATGCATGGAGGCAGCTAGAGTGCACGCGATCATAAGGCCTATGCTTGCCAAGTAATGACATTGAACAAGAATAGGCCCCTGAACCATTCTTTTGAGGAAGTTGAATGGGAGAATGCACCCATTACATTAAGCTCATTTGATTATAAATAGCCTAATGGGGAGCTAGATGTTATCATGCCTCATGTTGAATCGTTTATAGCTATTGTGCATATTGGCAACCATAATGTGAACAAGGTCTTTATTGAATTAGGTAGTTCTCCAAATATTTTGTATTGGAAATGCTTTCAAAAAATGCAGTTGAATCCAACTTCTTTAAAGAAATATAAAGGCTCTATATATGGGTTTGATGACTAGCTTGTAGTATAAGAAGGAAGTGATTACCCTACCAATTTATATAGGCATTGAGCTAAGATTTAGGATGGCATCGGTCCATTTTTTGGTAGCGAAAATGGAATCAGCTTTCAACGCTATCATCGAAAAAGGCACATTGTGCAAGCTAAAAGTAGTTATTTCACAGCTACATTTATGCATGAGATTTCCAACTCCTAACGACATAGAAGTGCTAAGAGGGAATCAGAAAATGGCTAGAACTTATTATCAAGACACTTTCAAAAAGGTTGAGCTCCTGCAACTCCTTGAACGTTAATGTCTTAGTCGTTTCTGCTTAGCCAACCTGGCATACAAATTATGAGCATTTTTTATATAGATTATATGCCACAAGGTGTTGAACAGAAAGCTAAGCCTATAGAACCAATTGAAAGAGTCTCTTTGAGCCCAGTTAAACCTGAAAAAATAGTAAGTATTGAGATCAAGTTTACAGTTGAAGAGAGAGTAGAGCTTCTTGATTTTTTAAAAGCTAACAAGGATGTCTTAGCTTGTACGATAGTTGAAATGCCAAGCATCCCACCTAAATTTGTAGTTCACAACCTCAGTACAGACTTGACCAGGAAACCAATAGTGTAAAAACATCGCCTCTTTAGCGTTGAAAAGCAAGCAGCAATAGCCGAAGAGATACAAAAGCTACTGCAAGTAGGCTTCATCATAAAAGTGAAGTATTCTTATTGGGTGTCTAACCCTATGCTTGCCAAGAAGCCTAGCAGAAATTTGAGGATGTGCATAGACTTTACAAACTTGAATGATGCATGTCCTAAAGATCCCCATCCATTTCCAAATGTGAAAAAATTGGTAAAATGAGCAACTGGACACGAGTGAATGAGCTACTTGGGTGTAAGTTTAGGATATCATCGGATCTAATCGTGCCTAGATAATCAGGAGAAATTATAATTTTATCTCGAAGATTTGATTTATTCTTATGTGATGAAGCCATTTGGACTAAAGAACATTGGGGTAACATATTAGAAGATTGTTCAATTCATCTTTAAGCTTCAGATTGGTAGAAATATATGTGTACGATGATGATATGATTGTGATCAACATTCAAGTTGAGGATCGTTTAGCCGATTTGGAAGAGACCTTTCAAAATCTCTGTTAGGCTCAGATGAAGTTAAACCCTTTAAAATGCACCTTTGGCATGGAATCTAGTAAGTTTTTGGATTATTAGTCTTTAAAAAAGGAATTGAGAAGAATCATGACAAAGTACAAGCCATTGAACCAATGGGACCCCTTAAAACAATGAAAGACGTATAACACTTGACGGGTTGCTTGGCAGTTCTTCATAGAAAAATCCCTTTCATTCTTTAAAGTTCTAAAGAACCCTAAAGATTTTCAATGGACAGGGGAGTGTTAACAAGCCTTTGATTAGCTGAAACACTACCTCACTTCACCTCTTCTACGTTCCAAGCCATTGGAAGGAGAAATTTTTTTTATGTATTTAGGGGTTGTAGTTGATGTTGTAGGCTTAATATTGTTGAAAGAACAAGATGGGCAGCAACAACCCATATACTATACAAGCAAAGTGCTATTGGGTGCTGAAAGAAGATATCTTGTTGGTGGAAATGATACTTTTGCCTTCATTTGTGCTGCTCGAAAGCTAAGGGCATATTTTCAATCTCACCAGGTAGTTGTTTTTTACTAATCTACCATTAAGGGAAATATTGCAAAAGCCCGAGCTTTTTGGTCATCTAATCGGTTAGGCCGTAGGACTTAGCAAGTGTGACATCAAATTTGAATCTCGTATAGTTATCAAAGGCCAGGCTTTGGTGAGTTTTCGTATACAATGTGTGCCTATTATTAAAGAAGAGACTGCTTCTCCTCATCCCCTGTGGGCATTGTATATAGATGGAGCCACCAATGTTGAGGGCTTCGGAGCAGGGGTAATGTTAATTGGCCTAAATGGCTTCAAAAGTGTGTATGCATTGAGGTTCAAATTTCAAGCGATAAACAATGCTGCTAAGTATGAGGCCTTTATCCTCAGTTTGAAACTAACAATTGGGCTCAAGGTATAAGCCATACAAGTCTTTAGTGATTCCCAGCTCATTGTAAATCAACTTAACACCAGTTGTGACATTAGGGACCCTCAATTAGCTTGATATTGCTTCGTTGTTTCCTACTTGAAAGCCAAATTTGCTTCTTTCCAAATTGATAAGATCCCACGAGTAGACAATCAACAAGCTAATGAATTGTCCAGGCTTGCTTCCTTTCAAAAGATATCACCTTAACGAGCAACTTATGTTAAAATTTAGATACATCGAGTTATATAGACCATCCACTGATTGTGCAATATGAAGTACTGATCTATCTTTTCTAAACTGGATTACACCTCTAATTGAATATTTACTATCAAGCACACTGCCTAATAATGAGTTTGAAACTCGGCTAATAAGATGTTGGGTAGCTCATTTTTGCCTACTTAATGGTCACTTATACAGGTGAGTAGTGTCCATGCCCCTGCTATGACGTGGTACTCTTTATGAAGCCAAATATGCTATTAGAAAAGTTCATGAAAGAGTTTATGACACACACATTGGTGGAAAAACACTAGCTTAGAAAATTCTAAGGCAGGGGTATTATTGGCCCCAAATGATCAAGTATGCTCAAAACCATGTAAAGAAAGGTCTGACTTGTCACTTCACTACCAATAATATTCACATGCTAGGTAAACCAGTGCAACTAATTAAATCTTGCCTAGTCATATCTTCACAATGATTGAGCTCATTTATCTTAAATGCTAGAAGAAATGCTCTACTCAGTTACTTCTCCGTGATTGTTTACTCAATGAGGAGTAGATTTACTTGGTTCTTTTGTAAAAGGCAAAGGAGATTGCACCCACCTCATTGTGGCTATTGATGATTTCAAAAAATTGATGGAAGCTAAACCATTGTCTACCACGATCAAGAAAAAAATAAAGGAGTTTTATTCAGCTCGGTTCTATGTAGGTACAATGGTATATTTCAACCACTTAATATTCTTATCTATAAGAGCACTTAACTTGTTTTATTCTATGTAGGTATGGGATTCTATGACGTATTATAGCTGACAATGGCCCTCAATTTGGAGTTGCAGCCTTCAAAACTTTCTGTAAGGATTATGAAATTCAACTTGTGCTCACTTCAATTTAGACTCCACAAACAAATAGTTTGGTACAGTCTGCTAATAAAATTGTTTTGCGTAGCCTCAAAACATGTACCATGGATTTTCAAACAAACTAGGTTGACAAGTTGAACAATGGTTTATGATATTGCAGAACTACACCCAGCTTGGCCGTTAATGAAACACCATTCTTTTTAACCTACAAGATCAAAGCAATTATCCCTGTTGAGAACGGCTTACCAAGCTCGAGAATAGCTCATTTTAATGAACCAGTTAACAACTAGGTACTTTGTCAAAGTTTAGATTTGGTTGAAAGAGTCAGGGACACAACTTGTATACGATCTTTATCTTATCAAGGTCATGTCGCCAACTTCTATAATAAACGTGTGCACAATCGCCAATTTCGAGTTGGCGACTTGGTCCTAAGGAAAGCAGGGCTCACTAATGCCCATTCACATATCGGTAAACTTGCTCCCAGTTGGGAGGGCCTTTATAAAGTTGTAACTATTAAATGACTTGGGTCTTTTGTTTGGCAAAATGTTAAAGGTCGTCAATTGTCATTCACGTGGAATGTTAGTAACTTACAAAAGTTTTACAGTTAGATTGGGGAATCAATGCTTGTGTATGGCTTTATGGCCTTATAAATGTAACCTTTCAATAACAAAAATATTGTGTTTTTATTTCATGCTTTAATTTTACAAATTAGTTACATTCACTCCTTATAAACTTAAACATGAATAAAAATAGAGTTTTAACAATACAAAAATCCAAAAAGCAAAAACAAATAAAACACCACACATCCTATTAATCCTGCTCATTCATAAGATCAACTTGAGGCATAGATTCAATTGAGGCATTTGTTGGCGTTGAGGGAGGAGGTAGCCAAGAAGAAGAAGAGGTCTTAGCTTCTAATGGAGGCATCCTAGCAACCCAATTGGTAAAGTTTTGGGAAGTATCATGCTCGTCACCTTCTTTGAGCACGTTAGGAGGAAATAATAGGGCTCCATCGTCATCCAATGTCCACCGTACGTTGCTAGTAGTCTCGAATGGTGGGGTAAGGCTTTTTCCTTGCTCATTAATTTCCTCTCCATCCATGAAGGCAAGTTCATTGATCAAAAGGTCTGGTTGGTGTTGCAACACCTTGCCACAAACCTTGTTGTAGCTCTCAATGATGGTGTTCATTGTGGCAGTGGTAACAACATCCCAGAAAGCGTTCAATCCAAAGAGCCATTCATGCACACTTGGGCTTGAATCACTTGTTCATGCTCAAACAAAGCTCCCACATAATTAAACACATGTCATACAATCCATTGTATTAGGTCACATTGTAAAAGTAGCAAAGGCAAGAAAGATAAATGCAAAATTTTGCTTACATCCATCAGTTTTATCATTATAACACCATTGTCGTGTTGATGGAGAAATTCTCTCCCTTTTTGACGGTTTACCATAAGGACAAAATTGTGCATCACTTACACCATTGTTGCGTGACAATTCTTTTTGGTATAGTTGAACCCTTTTTGGAATGCAATGGTGGGAGCAACCCATTACACTTGAGAGGAACCAACTTAACTATCATTGGTAGGGGTAACAGAGGGAGCAATAAGGATAGAGGGAGTGGTTGGGATAGTTGGCACAGTAGTTGTATCCACTTGCTGTAGATTAGAAGTAGGCTCGCCTACAATCTCTTCCTCCTTCCATGCTTGCCCACAAGATTCATTATGTTGTGTCTCAATTCACCTCTCCAAAATGGTAAAGGGACCACCTTATTTGTGCTGGGACGAGTTGTAAAAAGAATGCCTTGCAGGCGGCTCATCAAAACAACTTTGCCTCTGTGTGTTTAAGCCTATATGCCTTGACCTTTGAGCTTGCTCCTAGCCATCTCTTTCGCATAAGTAAAGATAAATAAGATTTAGATTGGTTTAAAGTATTAATATACAAAAGAATATACTTAGGACATAGAGGTTTGTGGCATCCACAAACCTAAATGCCAACTGCTCCAGAGTAACTAGGGTGTTCAAGTCCATGATGCCCTCTTCCTCAATGTAGCGTAAAATCCTACTTTTTAACTCCATATCCACATTCCCTAGTGTGGGGTAATTCATGTATGGGTCGAGAGAACGCCATTCTAAGATGCGTGCAGCAAGCTCATTGCTTATTCTTTTTGTTCTTGTCCTGCACAAAAATGAATTACCTTTTCCCACTCCCCACTTTATTCTTTATACTGTGAAAAATAATCATTTTATTCTAGCTTGAGATATAATACCACCAGGTATCCTTCTTCACTAACTAGCATGGAAACAAAGCCTTGAAAACTGTTGACTTTACTAGTATCTACAAGTTGGTGCACAATAGCATAAATCTAATTATAAATTTGTTGGAATTGGGGGTCAATTGTGTTAATGCTAGGTCGTAATCTGCCAAGACATTAAAAATCATCCTTGGTAGATCAAATCTTAGGTTCGCTTCAAAATTATCCAAATATATCGAAATCCATTCGTGGGCTACCACTGAGTAGGCTTTCTCTCGTTCTAAGGCCGCTTGCACTAAGATAGTGTTAGGGATTTGGTGGCTTTTCACCACTTCATCCAACCTCTTTAGTCCCTTTATTATTGGTTTGTCATCTATCATCCGTGATGGAGGACGGCTTTGAATCTAAAACTGGTTGGCAAATCCGTTGGCACCTCTTGGATATTGCTTGCATAGTTACTACGATGAGGTATCATCTCCCAGTTAGCAAATGCCTACTTACCCACTTTTCCAGTGGCAACTCCTTCCATTTTGCCTCTCAACTCCTCTCCTTCTTCATTATTTTTTGTCTCCAACTCTCAAGACGACAATGAAGAACTTTTTGGTGGAATGGGTGCATCAATATCTGACCTATGTTGTAGTGCTGGTGGCACAACCATGGCAAGTGGCTCTACAGAATCTATGCCTTCTTCTTTTTCTTCTTCCCAATTACCGTGAAGTTCTCATAGTTCTCTTAAAAATCCCATCTTTACTTGTGTTTGTCTATTGGCACTGTTGCAAAAATATAGAAAACTTGTACACCCACAAAAATGGTGAAAAGCAAAACATAAAGAGTAAAATGTAAAATGATAACGAAAGTGATCAGTTGTTTAAGGAAATGTTTCCAATTTTCCTTTTTACTCATCACATTATATGTACCTCAATTCCCGTACTCACACCTTTGCGGCGGCCAATGAAAACAACCCATGTGGCAACCACTTATTGCTCAACATTTAACTTTGCCATACTTAGTTGTCACATCCCTTAAAATGCTGTATTAACATTTATTAAGGAGGGCAAGTGGGATACGAACCAGCCAGAAGAATATCTTTTGAGATTTGCTTTTCAAATTTTGATATTCCCACAAGTGAGCCTATAAATCTCACCTAGAGGACGAAAGGTCCAAGGAAAACTTGACAAATTTTGGCAAATTTTGAAATTCACATGGGTGAGGCCATAAACCTCACCCCTAAGAGATTGAAGGTCTAAGGAAAACTTGACCAAACTTGACAAAACACAAGGGTGAGCTCGTAAGCTCAACTCGAAAGATTCCAAAAAAGACATTTATTGCGAGCGAGCTCATTACCAGATCATATAGTCCAATTTGCTCAATCTCTGTGGTTAGCTCATCAAAATCAATTTATAGGTTAGCTTGTCAAGACCAATGTTGGGCCAAAATAATTACTAAGATGGTTGGGGAAGAGGCCCAAACATTAACAATTAGACCCAAAAAACCCATATAAAACCCAAAAGTGCAAGCACAATAATCACGATGCACCTGCTTGACCAAGGGCAAGTGTACCAATAGAGCAACGACATGCGGCATCATTGTCATGAATGGGATCTATAAATACCCCCAACTACCTCCATAAAAGATAATAACTCTATTATGCTTCTCTTTCTGCAATATATCTTTTTGAAAGCTTCTCTCTTTAGATTATAGAGTATTATTGACTTGAGTGTCAAAGTGTTCGCCCTAAAAAAATATCCTCAGGTTTTTCAAGTACTAGAGTGATTTGTGATATCTATGGTATGAGTTCATGAAGCTGCCCAAACACTCCCAATCAACTACAACTGGACAAAAGTGCATGAGACAAAGCAAGAAAGCCGAGCGCATATAGTAACGAAAAGACCCCAGTGGAGGCATACAAAGAAAAGCAAAGGTCACGAGAATCCCACAAAAGAGAGAAGAAAGCTCTCATTGCCAAGAGAAAAAGATAGTCCCCCCAGCCGAGTGCTCCTCTCAGTATTAATTAACTTGCAAATTGATTAAATATGCATTAATCAATTAATCGTCAGTTTTCAATTTCTCCATTTTTTTCTAGGAACCCAAATTAACAAACAAATCCCAAACTAATTCTAAAAGTTCAGTTCATATTCATTTTCCATTCAGACCAAAATTTTGATTCTAATAAAAAACTACTCCCTCAATTCATTTTCAGTAAATTTAATTTAATTTTTTAATTTTTTAAACATAAATTTTTTATAAAAATTTAAGATATGATATAAATAATAATTAAAATTTTTTTAATCAAATAAAAATACTCAACAAAAATTATATATAAAAAAACTACTCCCTCAATTCATTTTCAGTAAATTTA